GCTGTGTGTAACCGGATGTAGCAGGAAACGCAAGCGACAATGGAGGCGATTGAGGACACGTACGCGAGTGGGCGAGTCACACAACGCCATAATATTATTCAATGATTCCTGTACTCTATGGAGAATGACACTTCAGTCCTGATGTGTTATGGGACCCTCTCAGCCTTTCAAACCCCTTCAGCACATCAAACCCCTTAGCCCTTCAAACCCTTTGAGACCCCCTCAGTTTTTCAACACTTTGAACACCCAAATGACACTGAACCCTCTGCCAAAACCGGAGTATAAAACGTCATTGAAAGTTTATTTCAGGTATTCAGTTTTACATGCATCTTGTAACGCAAATAGACGAAGAACCAAACTGTACTCAAACCCGAGAGCAAGCAGCTGTAGACAATGTGATCAGACCGAATTGAAACAGCCGAGTTCTTTGTTGCCAAGCATTCTTTCGAGGTAGTCACAGTGCTACTGGAAAAATTCTTGAGATGTAGAGTCACAACAAAAGCTTAACTGAAACGATCGAAGAAGCGCTCTCTTATCCGTGGGGCGCAAAGCTGGTGGCAGCCATATCAGTTGATCACGTTGAATACGGCCCTTTACATGGCGGGGGGGGGGGAGGTGGGAGCGCATTAAACTCAGAGCTCGGGTGCGTATCGCATCAGATAATATTAAACAAGCTGCATGAGAAATACGTTACCCTCAAGATTGTTTTATTTTAACTTTACTCGTTCTGTATTTTTTGTGTGTGTGTCGAGAAATGAGTTGTGTTATACAAAGTGCAAAAAAAGGACACAAGGCAAAAAACAAGCGGTTTATAGTCATTGTTAGCATTCTATCTCAGAACCTACCGCGCCTCCACCCCCCCCCCCCCCCCTTTCTCTCCCCGAGATGCGCGTACCGACACCTGACCGATTGGAACCACAGGCTGCCTCCAGGATAGCGCCCTGCGGAAAAAAGACGGGCGTTTCAGTATTCTAGTTAAGTTTGATTGCGACTGTACGGCAGTTAAATTAATAAAACTGACAAAAGTTCACCACATACATACATGCAAGCTATCAGTAGCATGTTTAGCTAGAACTACAAACTCAAAACCAATGTACGCCGCCGCTGAGAAATCCTTAGCAAGATCACGGTGTTGTCGCTAGTGCCGTCGCGGTTGGACCTCCGACGACGTTTTTGTTCACTGAATGATCTGCTGAAGTCGGACGGACGAAGAGATGGAAGAAACAGGGAACTGAGCAACCTTCATCTCGATCTGCACACTGAGCTGGTCTCGAAGATGGTAAACGCATGGCACAGGTCGCCGACACTGAGCGTTCGCACATTGCGGCCGCCGAATACAAAATTACCAAGGGGCTTCCCCGGCATACATATAATGCAGATTCACGTGATGTGTACCACAGACACGATAAAACAATTTTAATAAAAACTATGTCTTCACAAAAAAAAAATAGGACAGTCCCTACATGTCTTTAAAGAAAACTGTTACAGACCGCTTACACTTTTGGGAATTCTTAAAGGATACATCAGGCCTCTTAGAAACTTTCGGCTAGTTAACAACCCCTGAGCAAGTTTTGGACAGAACGTCAGAACATTGAAAAAACCCTGGTTGGAAGGAGAGATGTTTCTTTCAATGGGGTAGAATATGGTGCATAGCGAACACAAATTCATTGATCGCCAAATTATGCCTTGGCATGGACGCAATATCGGAGCTAGCTTATATTTTTTTACTACTAAAAGTGACGAACTCGACTGGGTGCATGCAACATGGAACGCGCGTAAACCTACATTACACGCAAAGAGAATGTCGTCTTCAACAGACAATAAACGTGAGCCAGTTCTGAGCGTATGCTCCGAATAAAATATTTAGAATATTGCGTTCAGTGGATGCGTCTGATAGACTTTTGCAAGTGCGGCCTCTGGGCGCCGCCATTTTGCTGCTAGTGTGGCCAGATCGTCTGACTGGCAAGCATGGCCGATGCTTTGTGTATGCCTCAGCAATGCTTGACTACCAGACGACCTGCCTACACCAGCAGCCAGACGGCGGCGCCCAGAGGCCGTGCTTGCAAACGTTTATACCCGAACATGCTATGTTTATGCACTCCTCAGTATAAAATAATGTGAACCCGACAATTCGTTTATAGCTTGCAAAAAAAAAACGTTATTATTGGATATCTTTACAAATTACTCAGATCAGTTTTTATTTCGGCTCCTGAGTACTATTTAAACAATATGCACCGTAAAACAGACAAAAGGAGAAGGACATAACGCGAAGTGCGACTTTCAGCTGTATATTAATGCACGGAGCAATTGAGAGAGAGAAGTATGCGAAAGCGGGTGCAGTGACGTCAGAACGCCGAGCTTTGATTGGAAGGATTTGTGGGTTAGCCTAAAGCTAGCTGCCTTTGTCTCCACTGCACTCATCAAACGCGGAAAGCCTGGGTTTGGCTTTTGGCTCTCGCGTTCGAACGTATACTCGACGAATGCAGTGGAGACAAAGGCGGCTAGCTTTAGGTCTACCCACTAATCCTTCCAATAAGAGCTCGGCGTTCTGAAGTAACTGCACGCGCTCTCACTTGTCCTTCTCTCTCCCGTTTTCTCCGTGCATTAAAATGAAAAAAAAAAAAAAGCTATTTATAAACCCTGTCATGTTGCTCGCGTAGGGATTCAATTTTCTTATCGAATCGGCGAAATGACAAAGCATTTATGAATATGCTCCTTCCCCGTTGCATGATTCATACACGTCTTGCGGTAATTTACTTCTTAACGTCCTAATATTTTTTTTTTTCTGGAACAAGTGCGCGTGGGAAGTTTCCACAATAAATTCCAAATTTGCCAGAGGGAAAATATTTTACTACGAGTGAGCGCTCGCGTGCCCTGGCGTTCATGCGTCTTCCTGTTCGGCCGACAAATGCTTTTCCGTAGGTCATCGGGATTTTATAGACGACTAAAGTGATACCTTCTACGTACTGCTTGGGTCATATCATTTAACGCAAGACGTTATTTTGCTAGGTGTTGGGCACTTCGTGAAACCCAGATAAGAAAGCAGCAGGGATAAACGCATGGCCGCGGGAATTGACAATGATTGGTTGACTGTTGTGAAAGGATGAGTGAGGTGATCGACGCTCATTGGTTAGTGGGAAGATAATGTAACGAGAGGAGTAGGTGTGGAGTAGCTCCACCCCCTGTGCGCACTGTGAGAGAAGAGCTCTAGAGTATGGAAGGTTGTGGAAGATCGCCAGGATCCTCTGCCCGATTAGCGGTAGCGTCGCTGCAGTCTAGGAACAACTACTGAGCCTACACATGGAACGCGTTAAATTATCTGATAAAGAGTGCCGTGAACGTTTTCACGGTACTCTGTTTTCAGTGTCGGGAAATTTGATGGAGTGCCTCGAATGATGCTAAATCTGGAAGGTGCTTTGGATGTCGCGAGATGTGTGGGAATAATTTTGTTCTCGCAAGGTTTTAAAAATGTTGAAGAGGATTTGATAATAATTACTTCTTTTTTTGTGTGTGTGTTTATCCCTCGCCTTCCCTCCCTCCCTCCCCCTCCCCCCCCCCCCCCCCCCGTCCCTCCTGCTATAATGCCTGAAGGCGCTGCGGGTACTGAATAATAAGCTGCAGAAGTGTATGTGGGCCAAAAGGGAGGCCGTTTAAACGATAGGGTACGCCAGCACGCACTATATAAAAACATTCGCCCTCGGGCTACTGGGCTAATCATTGTCATAGATGTCATTGCGCCCCGGTTCCAGAAAAAAGTACTATCCAGTAAGGGAAGTTGCTGGGCTAGGTGGTTTATCCTAGTTAGACATTTAATATAGCGCAAAAAAGACAAAGACATTAAGTAGACAGGGCAAGCGCTAATTTTCAACCATTTTTACTTTTGAAGAATCAAAGCAAGTATACACACGTAAAGCGGCAACAGATAAAGCAATCAAGCGTTATCTGTTCATGCAAAAACTGAAGTTGACATGTAACTAACACCATGCCGTCCCATTTTTTTACCAAAAAATGGGACGTCATGTGTCAGCGACACGTGAATTGTGCCACATGAAAATGAATTTTAGTTTTTGCAGGATCAGATAACGTCTTGATATCTCTACTTGTTGCCACTTTGCGTATTTATATATGCCTTGCTTCCTCTTGAGTAAAATAGAGTAAAGTTAGCGCTTGTCCCGTTTAAATCGCGTCTTTATATTTTGGGCTCTTTTGTGCGTTTAACTAAAATAAATGTTCTTGGGACATTCAACATTTTAAAACCCGAGACATAGAACAAAATGGAGAACAAAAAATGGACCACACAGACCTGTGTCTGTGTTGTCCCCTTTTTTCTTCTCGTTTACCTTCTGCGTCTCGGGTTTTACAATGTTGAAAATTCCCCAGCTCGCTTGGATCTTGTCTGTAAATTCTGTTCTTGGGCGTTACGAAGCAAGTTATCATAAGAAGTGCATGAATCATACAACATTCATGGCAGGAGGATAGCATATGTAAAACTTATAAGTTCACCTTCAGTTCAGATATCCGATAAGAATTTTGAATTTTTACGGAGCAACCTGATAGGGTTTATTAAAAGTCTCGTTTACTTCAGAAATATTCAATGGAAAGTAGAGCGTAGAGCTTTGTGTTGTGTTCCTCTCATTCTGTTTATGTTTTATGCACATATTGCCTTACAAAATCGCGTACCAATTATACTTTTTTTCAGTTTAATTCAAGACATTGCCGACGCCAAAAGAAAAAGGGACTAATCAAGCATTTTCAAAAGCGCAAGTCACTGAGCCTTTTTAGTTTATGATTGGTTCATTGATAATATAACATGTACAGAAATACTAAGAACATCATGACTGTGCGCTTTTGACGCATTTGTATTGATCCAATTAGCCCGTATTTTCGGCTGCATCTGGTCTGGGGGTGAGACGAAGTGTAGTTCATCCGACCATTTTAATTCCCATTATTCTTGCACTTTTTAACTAATTGGTTGCGTAAATTTACCGATATTTTTCTAGGGATTCGAGGACTGTAGATTTTACTGCTGTACACCCCGTGTTTGGGGTCTCTTCTACACCTACACAACATACACTGCGCTGGACGGATGGAGATGTGATGCTAAAGGAAAGGCAAGTTCATCCTTGCTTATAACTTCTACAGACGCCGTGATCACAATATATATATATATATATATATTGTTAGGAAGAAGCTGAAGCGCCCCCGGCTGGAGAGTTCGTGCTGGGTGCTCGATGACTAGGCAGTTGGCGATCAAACCGTTCTGTAGAGCAGTCTGTTACTAACCTACTTCGATTGAATCATCCCTACTAAAAAACAACCTTCAGGAGGTGGAGGTCTTTCCGTTCCCCAACCTCTCAATCTCATCGACCAACCTCAAGTCCTCGGTCTGGAACTCCGCAGTGGCCGCACTACAGCCACTATGCCTGAAGAAGGAGACAATGCCCACGGCTCTCTGACTCCGGTAACAGCTGTGACCACAACCTCAGCGGCACCGCCGCTACACACTCAAGCTGTTAAGAACCGACAACGCGACCCACCACTCTTCGCTGGTTATCCGATTCCGACGTCCACGACTGGCTTAAGAGCTACGACCGGGCAAGTCAATACAACCGGTGGGACGACTCATTCAAACTAGCGAATGTAGTGTTCTTTCTGAAAGAAACATCTCTTCAATGGATTGACAACCATGAAAAGGAATTTAACTCCTGGCACGCCTTCAAGACACGCTTTGCCGACGCCTTTGGTAAGCCGGAACAGTGCCGACAACAGGCGAAGGAAACATTGGCTCGCCGCTACCAGGTTAACACCGAATCATCCCTTGCCTACATTGAAGATGTTCTCCGGCTGTGTCGCCGCGTTGATGCTCACATGCCAGAGGAGAACCTCATCCGACACCTATTCAAGGGCCTTTCGCAGGAACTTTTTACCATCGTCGCTCCCAAATCCCCTCGAACGGTCCAAAACCTTATCGGCGAATGCAAGAAGTACGAGGAACTCCAAAGTGCCCGCATCAACAAGCAACTGTTTGAGCGGCTCCCTGAGGTATGCCTCGCACCTGCATTTAACATTGACATTAATACAATGATCCGGAACATTATCCGAGATGAAGTGCGGCCTTACCTGGCTCACTTACAACCCTGTGTCGGCGTTGCCCCCCCAAGATCCACATGTAGAATCAATTCAAAAGGTTGTGCAACACGAAATTCGCTCTGCGTTAGGACACCTGTCTCCGCCAACACCCCCGCCTATACCAGCAGCGCCGGTGGCTCCACTTGTTTGCTCCATGGCGCCATGAACCTCAGCCCCGCTACACCAGGGGTCCCGTTTACCAGGTCTATCCTCCAACAGGGTCCTATGGCCCACGTCGACGAACTGACATCTGGCGCACAGACGACAACCGCCCAATTGGTTACAACTGTCAAACGCCGCGACATATTGCACGCTACTGCCGCCGATCAGCGTACGCTGCCGTCTATCGACACACTAGCCAAGGCCCCTCCCCCCACTACCACAAGGAGAGCATCCCTTCTGGAGACCGACGCGCTCGAGTTCCCCCTTCGTCGCTCACCACTCGCCGGGGCCGGTCGCCATCGCCTTACCCTTGCCGTTCGCGCTCTGTGTCGCCCCTCAACGCCGTCGCCGCACCTACTGAGACATCAAACTAAGCCCAGCAGCCTGTGCTAACACCGGAGGTCAGGCTGCATTCTTCAAACTCGACAAAAACCCTCCTTGTAATGGACCGACGACCGTTTAGATTGTAATCGACGGACAAACATTTACGGCTTTAGTGGATACCGGTGCCGCCAAATCATGCATTGCCGAAAGCGTTCGCCGCAGTTTGCGTAAGGTGCTCACACCCGCTCATGGACGCTTACTACGCATGGGCAATGGAGAACTGGTGCGACCCCTCGGCCACTCAACCGTGTCCATGCTTCTCGGAGGAAGCCGTTAAATTGTCATTTTCACAGTACTACAAAACTGCGTCGCCGGCGTCATCCTCGCGTGCGACTTTTCACTTCAAACGAGGCCTTTATCGACTGTAGCAGCGGCGAGCTCCATCTCAACATCTGCGATACAGAAGGCACTCTTCCCGATTCGCCTCCGGTTGTTCTTCGTACAGCAGACGACATATGCCTGCCTGCGTTTTCAGCAGTTTCCGTACAGCTGGTACCCGAATCCCTCTTTAACAGTGCTTGCGGTCTCGTGGAGCCTATCGCGACTACTTTTGCAAAGAAGGGCGTTCTTGTTCCCCACTCTATTGCCATGGTGAAAACACGACGAGTTCACTTGTACATTACAAAACCTTCTGCGGAACCACTCATGCTACTTCGTGGATAGCGTATCACCACAATCCAAACGTGCGACGAGCCATGCTATCGCCTCTTTATCTACAGCAACTACTACGACAAAGCTACAAGCTGCTTCGGCTGACACTCTCAGCGAGCGCACTGCCCAAATGATAGACTCTTCCCTAACGAATACTGAACGTGCATCTCTCCAACGTCTACTAAGCACGTACAGCGACTTGTTTGACTTCAGTCGCCACGCCCTTCCTCAGACGACCACTGTGACACATCGAATTGACAACGGCTCCGCCACTCCCCTGAAAAGCCGGCCATTCAGAATATCACCAGCCGAGCGGAAGACCATAAAAGAAAATGTCGCCGACATGTTAGACAAGAAAATAATCGCACCTTCGTCAAGTCCGTGGTCATCTCCCGTAATTCTCGTGAAAAAAGATGATGGCTCCTGGCAGTTCTGCGTCGATTACCGCCGCCTTAACAAAGTCGCCAAGAAAGACGTGTTCCCGCTACCTCGAATCGACGACACGCTAGACGCTCTTCAGGGCTCATTTTTTTTCTCCTCATTAGACCTACGCAGCGGTCACTGGCAAATTCCCGTTTCTGAGGAAGACAAACCAAAAACAGCGTTCTTTACACCTGACGGCCTATACCAATTCAATGTCATGCCGTTTGGACTGTGCAATGCCCCAGCAACGTTTGAACGCATGATGGACACTTTGCTCCGAGGCCTCACATGGAATATCTGCTTATGCTATCTGGACGACGTTGTGGTTTTTTCAACAAGGTTGGACGACCATCTACACCGACTTCGGCAAGTACTAGATTGCTTTCGTAACGCAAACCTCCAGCTGAACTCTAAATAGTGTAAATTCGGAGCTCGAGAAATCAAGGTACATGGTCATCTGGTCAGTATCGACGGAATTCGTCCTGATCCAAGCAAGATTCAAGCAGTCTCTGAATTTCCAGTTCCTAGAAACTTGAAAGATGTCCCAGCGTTTCTTGGTCTTTGTACATACTTTCGAAAATTCATACCGGCTTTTCCCAACATTGCCGAACCGCTCAACAAGTTACTTTGTCTTGGCCAACTCTTCCACTGGGACCAATCTCAAATGGAAGCGTTCACCTCTCTGAAAGCGGCTATGGTCTCAGTCCCGATTCTTGAACATTTCTTACAAGGTGCAGTTACGGAAATTCGCGCAGCCGCTAGCGGTTATGGCCTGGGCGCTCTCCTTGCGCAAAACATTCGTAACACCCAGCGTGTGATCGCATATGCTAGCCGCACACTAACCAAGTGTGAACGCAACTACACCATCACCGAACGCGAATGCTTGGCGGTCATATGGGCAATTTCAAAGTTCCGTCCATACCTTTACGGAATTCACTTTCGCATAGTAACAGACCATCATGCCCTTTGCTGGCTGACCGGGTTCAAGGATCCATCTAGTCGCCTGGCACGCTGGTCGCTCAAGATTCAGCAATACGACTTTACGATTGTTTACGAATCCGGAAAACGCCACCTAGACGCAGACGCCTTGTCGCGGTGTCCACTCTCGGCTGATTTTTCCCCTCATGAACCACATACCGAAATTGAACTCTCTGCAGTTTTGGACACTATTGACGTCGCGGATGCTCAACTTTCGGATTAGGAATTACAACCCATTGTTCGCCACCTCCTCCGACCCACCACGCCCTCATCATGGCGCATCCAACGGCGTGCACGCCTTTTCACGCTGCATGATGGGGTTCTTTACCGAAAAAACTACAAACCCCATGGACGCCCTTGGCTTCTGGTCGTGCCTCGGCTGCTTCGAAAAGATGTCATCCGCGCCCATCATGATGACCCGACGGCCGGACACTTTCGGCTTTAGCAAAACGTATTTCCGCATCCGTAATCGCTATTTTTGGAACGGCATGTCACGCACAATTAACAAATACATTCGAAGTTGCCTTCTTTGCCAAACACAGAAAAGTCGCACGACCAAGACCCCCGGTCCTCTTGAATCCATCACACCACCCAAATCCCCGTTCCAACAAATTAGCATCGATTTTTTATGTCCTTTTCCGATTTCCACCAACGTCAAGCGCTGGGTTATTGTTGCCGTCGATTACCTTACACGCTATGTAGAAACTACGTGTGAATGCACGGCTACTGCCCGAGACGCCGCAGATTTCTTTCTCCACGGCATTTTACTGCGCCACGGAGCACCCCAAATCATCATCTGTGATCGGGAAACCCCGTTTATTGCCAAGCTAATTGAAGAAGTATTGCGCCTCACCAACACAATCCACAAAGTAACCAGTGCGTACCACCCACAATCAAATGGACTCCCCGAACGCCTCAACCGAACGTTGTCACAAATGATATCCACGTATGTCGACGATCACCACACCAACTGGGACGCCATCATTCCATACATCACTTACGCCTACAACACTGCGCATCAAGCAACTACAGGATTCTCGCCTTACTATCTTCTATACGCTCGCGAGCCTCTTACGCCTCTGGACACGACCTTGTCCTCCCTAAATGACCAGCCGTTGAGCCCCTATGCCAACGACATCGTTGGCCGAGCGGAGGACGTCCGTCGCCTTGCCCGTCTGCACACCGTACGGTCACAGCAAGAGCAGCAACTTCGCTATTCGGAAACCCATGGTCTTGCCTCCTACGAAGTTGGAGACAGGGTTCTTTCAGCCACACCTTTAGGCCAGCCGGGAAAGTCAGAAAAACTCCTTCAGAAATACGTCGGACCCTATGTTGTTCTGCGTCGCCTATCGCCCACAAATTATCAAGTTTCACCACTATCACACCCCCCCCCCCCCCCCCCCCCCAGAGATCATCGATCTAAATCCACCGACATCGTACACGTTGCAAGGATGAAACGCTTCCATAGTCCCGATGACGCTACATCAAACTGACTGACACCCAGCCCTCCACCCGACCGGCGGCAAATGTTAGGAAGCAGACGAAGCGCCCCCGGCTGGAGAGTTCGTGCTGGGTGCTCGAGGACAAGGCAGTTGGCGATCGAACCGTTCTGTAGAGCAGTCTGTTACCAACCTACTTCCATTAAATCATCCCCATTAAAACCCCCTTCAATATATATATATATATATATATATAGGGTGTTTTTTTTTATTCTTACACATTTGTTTAAAGAAAACTGTGAAAGCTACACTAATGCGCTTTGTGCAGGTGGGTTATACGGTCAGGCGGACATAATGTGGGCGGCTAATCTCTGCAATAAGTCTGCTAATTAATTAAAATTCGTTAATTAACTTTTTAATTACTGAAAATAAACATATGGTTTCAATTAGAAACTTGCTGAGCATCATCGAAAACCCTTAAATCAACTATTTTTAGCAGGATATAACACCGGGGCAGCATTTTCCGGCGTTCTGTAAAAACGCTCCATTTGGATGCATTTCTACATTTCGGTTTCTTATCGGAGCGCATCTACGCGCCCGCGATCCTGCTCCCCGGTGGTCGTGGCGCGAAGCCACCTCCTCGCCTCCCTCGTAGAATGGAGGGAAGTACGGCGCATGTCTGTTGCGCGTCTCAGCCACTGGGGAGCAGGACCGCGGGCACGGTGATGCGCTCCGATAAGAAACCGAAATCTAGAAACGCGTCCAAATGAAACGCTTTTACAGAACGCCGTAAAATGCTTCCCCGGCGTTATATCCTTGCAGAAACAGATGATTTAGTGGTTTTCGATGATGCTCTACAAGTTTCTAATTGAAACTATATGTCTATTTCCACTAATTAAAAGCTTAATTAACGAATATTGAATAATTAGCCGACTTATCACAAAGATTAGTCACCCACATTATGTCCACCTGGTCGTATAACCCACCTGCACAAACCGCATTAGTGTAGCTTTCACAAATTTTTTTTTAAACAAATGTGTAAGAATAAAAAAAACACCCTGTATATATGTTAAACGTGAAGTTAGTATAGTATAAATTAACTACATTTAACGTCGATATAAGTTTCTGACTTCTGAGCTTTAAAAAAAAATGTGTCTCACAAAACAAAACAAAAAGTCTAGGACATTTCAGTATTTTTTATGAGTTGTGAATGTGAAAGCATGAATGTCGTTCTTCCGCTCTCTTAGTTCGTCTGCGGTGGACTGGCGTGGACTGCTACGTTTCGCTACTGCCGACTTTGCGGCCGCCGGCGATATACTGGGTGATTCAAGGAGCGGCCAGGCTCTTTAAATCGACCGCGAAATTCGGTTTATTAACCTATTGTGGGACGACTTTGTGCAGCGTTGCCCACAGATGGTGCATTTTTTTTTATGTAAAATTTGCAAAGAGCGAACTTACCTGAGGAAAAAGTAAAGAAGGAAAATGGCTTGTTACAACTTACAACTTACAACTTAAAGAACAGCGCACACGAGCATGGCTCTATTTTTAGGTCTTCTGGGTCACCAGGTCTTCAAATGAAAATATGACTGATTTCGCTAACACTTTCGGCCTTCATTATTTATACATAAAATATCAACATCTCAATATAATAAACTACTCTAAAACACATAATCACAATAGATTGCAAAATATCGCAAATTTTCGAGCCGCATCTCTCTTAAAATGTAGAGAGGAATTTTTTACACATTTCTTTTGGAAAACATAGAAACAAAGTCATTTCTTAAATTTACATTGCGAGGTAGTTATTTTATTGACGTTCCCGACTTGACCAGACTCATCTACAAAAACAACCAAGTCATTTCTGCAATTTCTAGAGGTGCCAGCTGATAATCATTCTAGGAATGTAGTTATTTCGTTTTCTTAAATACAGAAATTGTAAGGCGACAACGGAGTTTAATCAAGGAATAAACTTTTGAGTGTGTGTGTTTCGTTTTTAACCTGTGGTTTGAGGGCTTAAGTAATGTTTATATCATAGCTGGCTGACTTTCTACATCGTTCCACATATCTTGCAGTAAACAGCCGCCTATGTCTGGACCTATATATTTATCCGTTTGTTTATTGTGCCTACTAACAGCCATGGGCCTATGACTTCAAAGGGTTAAGAAACGTTCGCAAAATAAACAAAATAACAAATAGGGGAAAAGATGTCGGAAATTACGTAATTCCAGGTGAGTACAGATATTGTTGGAGTAACCCTACTTTTTTATTTCAGAAAGAGTGTTGGCATGGTGTTTGCCGAGAATTCTTGGCTGACAAGAAAAAACAGCAAAACAACTAAAAAAAACTTAGTGCCATTCCACTCTGTGAAGGAGGTTAACCAGCGAAGCTGTATTGGGATGACTATATTGACAACTATATTGATGTGTATGGTTATTGCTATGTTGATTGAATAAAGACGCATACACGTAACTTCGTGGTTCGTATAGCCTTTATTTTGTCGTATTCTAACCACAGTAACCACAACTTTGTGGTCGCTGTGGTACACCGCGATCGATTGTACAGTTATGCTAGACGCGTTCTTGCCAAAGGTTAAATCTACACACGATGAGTGACGCGTGATTGGCACCTCGACGTCCGTGTAGCACACAATTGCAAACCGTTCCAACTGGAAGGACACAATCTATATACTTGCCGTCGGGGCGTGCTAGGACGACGCTAAAGTTTCTCATTATTACGATCGACTTGTCTTCGACGGATGAAGTCCAACAAAAACTGACGGGTGCATCGCATACCCTTGGCGATGGCGGCCCACAACTCATCGGTCGTTTTCGCTCGACGACGTCCATCACACTCAGGCTTCTGCTACCGTCGACGCTCTGTCCGTTGCAACTCAAGAACGAAGGACGAGGGTAAGACGGGCCGGAGAGGAGGAAGCAGACGAAACGCTGAAAAGAGATTTCCCTTTTCTTCTCCAGGGTTCCGTCTGCTTCCTCTTCCACGGCCCGTCTTACTTTCGCCCTTCGTTCTTGAGTTGCAACGGACTATAGCCTAATACGCTGTTCTTCGTCGGTCAGAGAGCGTGTACTCGATGGTCTCGACGCGTTGGCCGCTGCGTGTTCGGCGGCAGTGGCCTCGTCACTTTCGCGCCCATTGGCAGTTTTGCTCTCGTTCTCGCTTTTTGAAGGCATGTTCTTCTTCCTCAGAGCGAACTACGCGCGACCTGCCCATAGCAAGCCTAAAGGGCACCTGCTGATAACGTCGCTAGGTCGATGACTACGTCAGAGGAGAACAAGGCACTACAATTGGTGGGTAGACTATGACGTTTTAATATTCTTTCCAGCCCCTGTAATCGGGAGCGAAGGAGCGCCACCGGCGCACAAGTGGTGTGAGGAGTGGCGGCCGCGCAGCGAATTCTCGCTCTACACGATCTGTCCGCGCAGGCAAAGATTTTCATAACGTAGCCATAGGCAGCTTCGCTGTAAAAAGCGCTGGTGGCCCGAAAGACCGTCCGAGGGTTAGATACTCCAGCTGAAGACATGATGCCTGTGCAAGTTGGGCAGGGATAAAGTGATTGCGTGTGAGAGACCAAGTGGTATGGGCTGAACCTATCTTGCAAAAACATTGTGGTGGCTGAGCTCGGCAATGCCAGGATATACGTAGGGTGAGCTTATGCGCACAAAGTAAGAGGCGCTATCAAGCGGCTCCGGTGCATCGTCAGACTTGGCGACTGCGCAACGGAGGCACACAGCTGGGCACGCGGCAGCGCCAGTGCGTCTGCCGCGGCTATAACGTAACTCCTCTGGAATGCGCAGACCGGGCAGGCGCGCGCGGCGTCGGCGGAGCGCGTGGCGGCGGCGGCGGCGGCGGCGGCGGCGGCTCGGGCGCGCCAGCTGTCCGCCGTGTGACGTCACTGCACCTTGCGCTTGCGCAGCACGACTGCTTGGGAGCCACGCGAAACTGCTCAACCTCAACCAGTGTGGCTAACGCTACACAAACTGGGAACTAGTCCCAGCGGCAAAGCATTTCGTGCAAGCTTATCTACTTGGCAAGGGAACTTTAGATTGGACAAGGGGTTTAATTTTCAATATATATCTTCTGCGCAATAGGACAATATTGAAATAAAAATGGTGTTCTGTTTATAATCAGGGTGGTCACAGATATTGAAGTCCCCATATTTAAGGACAGTCATCACACAAAGCCACCAATCTATTCCTGCAATTTCTTGAGGAGCTCGATATTCGATTCTAGAAACTTAAAGAGGCAACTTCTTTTTCAAATGGGAAATACTTTTTAAGAGAAAACATGTAGCCTAATCTCGCTCCTAGGTGAGGAGCACCACGAGTGCTCGCGACTTGAATGGTACTTGAAGAAGGAAGTTTGCGGGAGCGTCGATCGAACGTAAAAGCCAGCTTGGGCGTTTTCAAGTCCAACTTCGGGTTGAGGCGAACTTGAGCAAGTCAAAGTTCGGCTTCAGATGAATTAATATATACGAGTTCGGGGGTAAGACTGAAGATACTTGCGCAGCAACGGTTTTAAATGGTTTTTCGTATATTATTAGAAACGTGCTTCATAGTGAAAAAAAAAAAAACAGAATCAAATATTGCTTTAAAAAACTACCTCGACGCTTACGAAAAAAAAGTTCGGACTGAATAAAAAAATATTGATTCATAAAAAGTCGAAAAAGCTAAGGCACTGTTAGGCACCATGCCCTTAACTAGCCCCATCAGATGAAAATATCCCCACCACAAATACAAAAAAAAGGAGCGCTACTTCCCTGTAAACTTGTTTCAGAGATCATATGTATAATCAGAATATTTAGATATGATCTCATTTCTAGCCTTGAGCGATAAAAATGTTAACTTGTTTCGTGCAGGCCACAGAACATCTCGCATATGTTTACGTCCAATTTAAAATATTCAAACTGGCACAACTGTTCGTGCGCCTTAATGAGTCTATCCACAAAGAGATGGCGAGTGCAATTTTACTAGTGGAATAACTTCAAGCTTTCAGTATATTGGTGCAATTACATTAAAACCCTAGACGGAGAAGGTCGGCACACACAGACACAGCGGTAAATAAAGGCCTTCAACGAAACTACTCCCAGCGCGAATAAACGCGGTTGTTCTGATAGAGAAGATATGCACGCAGGCTTTTGGTGCAACCTACCAGTGCGCTACTTGGATGCAAAGACTAAGCTCAAGAACAATCGTCGAAAAGTCTATGAGATAAACAAAACTCTGTTACTGCCGAGCTACGAAAGTTATAATAGTGTCCATGGTTTACTTATATGACCCACGGACTGCCAGAAATGTTGTCATTATTACAAGCACCAATGTTCCTGCTTCTTCTCTTGGAGGAACCGGGCTTCTCGGACAGTTGGAAGTCTGAAGACAGTGTCATGAAGACCATCGAAGACATACCGAAGGATTTCCTTCTCGCATTTGAGTCGGGCAACGGCTTCATGGACCTCTTTGTTCCTATAGAGTGCCTCAAGGAAAATACTGCGATGTTCAAGGCTTTTCTTCACTCCCGCGCGAAACCGGTCACATTGTGGAGTGACGCCAGGATGCACATCAGTCAATGCAGATACAATATGTGCTACAGATTAAGGATGTCATTTTTTCAAATAGTTTACTTTATGTGCGGCAAATATGATATTCGTCGAAGTCTTCATAACTTCCCGACAGATTACTTCATGTCTACTTTCGTCGTCGATGAATCCGTAAAACATCCCTGGGAAGCTCTTCGGAATGTTCTTAGAGTACCATTTCTACCACCGTACCCTAGAGCAAGTGGAAGATATGTAATCAGCAGCGAGAACGGCAGTCTCTTCTTCATTAGCGAGTTTGAAAGAAAACTAATCGAACACCAGACGCTTACTAGTGGTTTATTGTTAGAACGGCAAAGGACGCCAACTGGGAGCTTCATTCACCTGGTATGTGCAAGCATTTACGCCTGCCAGCACCCAAGCTTCAACGTTACATTAAAGCTGTTGATGCACCGCAACGCTTCAGTTAGAGTTGACCGTGACTATGACACTGATGAGCTGTGGTCCAGCTCATATATAAATAGTTTAAACAATCGGGCAGACAGGGACGCGCAGGCCCTTTTTCACGCACTTTATCATCACGTATCGGTCGGTTTTTCATTTTACGTTCGCAAGCGGGATCAGGTTTCCAAGGAGACAATCTTTATCTTGCCATTTTTAAACGAGGTATGGTTGGGACTTATCGCGTCTTGTTTGTTACTCGTCTTGACGTATGGGCTTATCGCGAAGGTTACGCTGATGGCGAATGTTGATATTCTAATCTTCGTAATCCCTATGGTGGCGGCCTTCTTTCAGCAGAGCACGCAGCTCCACAGATGCCTACTAAACACGTCTCCATCCCGAATGTTGTACGGCACAATGGCCTTAATGTTTGTCGTGATGTCGACAGCATTCAAAGGTCGTCTCACTTCACTTCTGAACCACCTTCCGCTCGATGGAGAACCTACTCAGTTCGTGTCATTTGAGCATCTTGCCCGAACAGGCAACGTCTTTGTTTCCTTGAAGATCCGGGCATCCTTGGTGCATATGGGTCCCTTTTGATCTTCAAGAGGAATGGCCCAATAAAGCAAGGATCTAAATGCTACCGAAGTTTGAGCTTGACTTTACGTAGTCCTCGCTCGATTAAAATTTCCGCAGACGGCAGGGATACGTTTTTTACCTACAACTCGCGAACAGGTCCCAGCGAGTCTTGGAGGCGAGAACTTCTCGGAAGAGGCTACGTTGAGACGGAAGGCATCGCGTTCTCGTACCCTGCTGGACCAGAAATGAGGCCATCGTCGGTCTACCGAGAGGACTTGACTGCAACATTGAGTCGGGCGATTGAGGCTGGCCTATACGAAAGGTATGCTGCCCTTGCCGAGTACAAGAGTAGATTCTTTCTCGAGAGTAGTTTGGATTACAGACAAAAACTAGTTCTAAGCTTAGGTGATATGAGACCGTTTTTTCTGGCTTGGTTCGTTGGTCTGTTGTTCTCACTTCTAGTCTTTATTACTGAGGCAATTCTATCTCGTGCCAGATGCCTAAATTCCTCGGATGACGTGAGGATTATTCCTAAACAACGTTCAAAATATCTGACACGATTCACGCGCCTTAAGAAAAAAGATCGTCATCGCGTTCTTGAAGGAAACTAAAGGAAAATGTAAAAAATATGATCCAGAGGAAAATTATATTTCGCACATGTTTTGGAAATTCAATACCCTTAGGAATTTTAAAATGAGTAGTGGATATGTTGTATTCTTTCGCTTTTTTGGAACTTTAAAGTTCACATATAATTTTATACTTGTATAGGGCATTTGTATTTGCGTCATAGTTCCAAAATAAGTTCACAATTTTTATCATTTGTCAAAGATGT